AGTTTTCTACTCTCATGATCATACCCTGAACCTTGTCATGTCCAATAACTAAACCTGCCAGACTTTTAAGCCTCTCTCATTTCCAACTGTATTTCTGTGCTAGTAGCCCTACTTTTACAATTCTTTATCACCATTAAAACTTCAAGTTCATTGACTGTGCAACTCCTTCACTGTCCATCATAGACCTCATGCTCTCAACTCCCTCCTTAAATAACCATGATCCCAAACTATAAGCACTTCCTTGCATACACCTTCAAGTCCACTACATCTCTCCCTCCAACATACTTCTGGCAAAACCCTAACCCTGGTTAAACCCAACACATTGCCTGTTCCAAAAGGGTCCTAATTGGTCTTATTTCCATCCTTGATCCATGAGGCAGAGACTGCTAGGTGCCTACACAATACCCACTCTCTCCTTTCTAAATAAGAGAATACCGATTTCACTTAGGAAATTAATGTACCCTGCTAAAACACTATGCTTCTGAGCCTCCCTGGCAGCTACAGGAAGTCTGTGACACTGGAATATAAAATAAAAGTGAAGTCACTGAGTGGGACTTTGGAGAAAGCTCTTTGAAAGGACCCAATTCAGCTGACATGTGCTTTTCTGCCTTCTGTCTGGATGTGATTCTAGAGAAGAACCAGTTAACTTACATCACAATGAGATAGGCACACTTGAAGCTGTCCAAACAGCAAGACAAAAGGAACATGAATCCCTAATGTCATGGGGCTGCCACATCAGTCCTGGAATGCCTACCTTCATTTTTTTTTTGTTACTTGTGAAAAATAAAACTCCTAATTTGTTTGAGTCATTATTTTGGGGTCTCTACTATTTACAGTAAATACAATTCCTAACTCGTAGGCCCATTACAGCTTATTTCCCACACAGCAACCAGAGACCTTTAAAAGTGTAAGCCAGATCATATTACTAGCTTCCCATCACATTTTAAATAAATTTAGGCTCCTTACTAGGTCAACTAGGCCTTCTTTGATCTGCCCCTTCTCTCTCTCCCATCCCATCTCCTACCAAATCCCCATACCATCCATCCACTCACCACTTGCACACACAGCTCCAGCCACACTGTTTTTTAAACAAGCCAAACTTGTTTCTGTCTCAGAGCCTTTGCATTTGCTTCTCCCTTTGACTTGAATGCTCCTTCCTTGTACCTTTACTTGGTTTGCTCCCTCACTTCTTTCAGCTTGCAACTTAAATGGTGCCTTCTCTGAAAGACCTTCCCTCACCACCCTTATCTAAAACAGTATATTTGTGGCTCATTTCCCTTCCACTCCCCTTAATTCATCTTATTCTGCTTTATTAATATATATTTTAAAAGTACAAGGGAGGAACCTCCAAAACAATTTATTTATAAAAAATTATGTTTAGTCTTTACATATTTAAACTTCAGTCACTTTCAAAGTACTGTCATTTGATGCAGTACAGCTATCAAGACATTTTTTCCACTGCTCAAAACAGTTTTTAACTCATCTATTTTGATGCCTTTGAGAACTTTTTTCATCCAGGAAAATAAAGAGTCATTCGGGGCCAGATCAGGTGAATAGGGAGGGTGGGGCACATATGCCTTTTTTTTTGGTCAAAAACTGCTAAACACTCAGCACAGTGTGGTGGACAAGTGCACTCATAAATCACCCATCATGACATGGGCAAACACATTGAAAGGTTTTTCAAAAAAATTCACCAAAGCCAAACACAACCTCTCACAATAACACCAGCTCGTACACTGATACATGTGGGTTCCTAGAACACTCACCTAGTGGAGGAAGCCTATGCTCTAATGGACCCACCTTCCAGAAGATAATTCTGTTTTTTGGGGGGTCCCCCTCATATGTGTTTGCTTATTTACTGTCTGTCTTCCCCACTAGAATGGATTATCTCCCTGAGGGAAGGACCTTGGGTATCTAATTCAGCATTGACTGCCCAATATCCAGAACACAGTAGGGGTACAATGAATAAATGAATGCACACCATAATCTCACTTATACTAAAAAAGACAAAAGCATTCCTGCATGCGCATGTGTGTGCATGCATGTGTGTAAGCAGATAAAGGATCTAGGATATACACTAAACTTTTGACAATTGTTACCTCTGGGAAAGATGGGAGATAAGGAAAAAAGAAACTTCTACATTTGCTGTACATATTCCTGCATTATTTTTCTTATTTTAAAAAGACAACTATAACATATGGCAGGAAGAAAATTTTAAACATACTTAGAAATATAAACCTATTCATAGAATCATAAAATTTAGAAATTCTTAGTAACCTCAGGAAGCATAACACTACCCCACAAGTAGGATTATCTATGATTATTAAGTAAACATCTTTAAAAAAAAAACAGATTTAGAGGAATAAAATCTCTTGTTAAATTTTTATAGCCCTTATAAAGGTTTTTACTGCCACTTCTACAAAATAATAAAGTATATTAAATAAAAAGCATATTAGTAATATGTTACACATCAAATTAGTAATAATGAGTTTTGTAGAGTTGATTTCCACTTACCATCCCTTGCTCAGTACCAACTTTTTTTTTTAAGATTTTATTTATTTATTTTTAGAGAGGGAAGGGAGGGAGATAGAGAGAGAGAGAGAGAGAAACATCAATGTGTGGTTGCTGGGGGTCATGGCCTACAACCCAGGCATGTACCCTGACTGGGAATCGAACCTGCGACACTTTAGTTCACAGCCCGCACTCAATCCAATGAGCTACGCCAGCCAGGGCTTCAGTACCAACTTTTAAAGACCTTCCTCCATTAGAGATTCATCCAGATAATTACCTATTTATTTTGTTTCAGATAATATGCATCGAGACATCCTTTTCTCTATCAAATTCTCTGTACAAATGTCTAGTGCCTTTTAAATGGTTTTACAATTTTATTGAGGCATATTTTACATATTATATAACTCATCCATTTCAAGTGTGTAATTTAATGACTTTTAGTAAATTTACCAAGTTGTGGAACACAACATAAATCCATTTTAGAAATTCTCACCACTATAATAAAATCATTCATGCCCATTTATTGTTAATTCACATTCCTACCCCCTACTCCAATCAACCATAAATCTTCTATTTGTCTATACTTGTCTATTCTGAACATTTTCTATAAATGGAATTATATAATACATGGTCTCGTCGGGCTTCTTTCACTTAGCATCTTTTTGGGTTCATCCTTCTGGAAGCATGTATCAATGATCCTTTTTTTTTTTTTTTACTTTTTTTAAAGGTTTTATTTATTTAGTTTTAGAGAAAGGAAGAGAAACATCAATGTGTGGTTGCCTCTCACAGGGCCCCCATGGACACCTGGCCTGCAACCCAGGCATGTGTCCTGACTAGGAATCAAACCGATGATCCTGTGGTTTGCAGCCAACACTCAATCCACTGAGCTACACCAACCAGGGGGAGTGATTCATTTTTTTATTGCTGAATAGTATTCCATTATATGAATGTGCCATTAGTGACTTTTGATTTTATGACTCGAATTTCCATTTAACAGGTTACACAATAAATGTAGGATAACTTGGATATTTGGAGTGTGGGGGAGAAGAACCTATGGCTAACTTTTATTTAACCAAAATGATAAATGTTAGTGTTTTTCAAATACAATCCACTTTATACATGATGAGGCTGTCTTAGTTTCCCTCAACAACATTATGCCATCAGTCCCTTTTAAAACCACCCCCCTGCTCCTCCCTCCTAACAGGAACAAAAGCATAGTTCCCAAGGTTTCCTCTCTCTGCCAAGACTTATAAAAATCTCTCCTCTTATGATGCCTTCTGCTTTAAATCCTTTTTCTACCTCCAAGTCCTTGTTTTCTCTTTATCTTCAAGTTGATAGCTTTAAAATTTCTATATTCTCCAAGTTTTTGAAAAGGTACATTAGAACTAAGTATCTGCATATTCTGGAATTTTATTTAAGAGGAATCTGTGTTTTTTGATGTGATCCCTGGGAATAATTTCTCACTATGTAGAAAAAAGCTTTGTGATTTTTTTAAAATCCAAAAAAAAATCTCACAATGCCAATATAAAAGGAGCACAAGGACCCACCTGAGTATATGACACCCTCATTTTAAAAAGGGTCAAAGAATGCAGAGTTTCCATTATCTCTTCTGCTTAACATGACTTTGTTAATACTGATATTTTTCATTCAATATAAAATATTACAAATAATATTACTGTCTCGTCTGTTTTATGAAGATGTCTGATTTTGATTAAGTGGACTAACTTTATAAAATATTAAACATCCACATGTAGAATGAGTAGTCATTTATGAGGTGGGTAAGAGATGGTGATGGAGGAAGAGGGCTGGGGAAGGATGACACAAGTCTTGTAACATCCTTGTTACTACCAGCCATTTTGAAGTTCTAATTCTCTAAGTGATTTCCAGACAGTTAGCTTGAAAACATCCAAAACAACATGATGTGGACACAGGTAAAAGCATTTTCAAGGTAAATGTTCTCTGGGAAATTATTCCATTACCCCCTTCCTGACTGAATTTACAGTTCTTCTGGAGTACTTAACAGAGTGAAAACAATAAAAGATAATACCAGTTACATGTAATTAAAAGAACCTTGCAAGATAAGGAAAAATAATACAAGCTATTATTATTGAAGCTTGAATATTAGCTTTTAACTAACATTTAAATGCCAAGAACACCTCCCTTGGTGGCCAGTTACTGCAGCAGGTATGTGACAGGCAATATGAGCTATACTTCCGCCTTTGAAATGACAGCTTAAAAGGAGCTCTTAGTTAAGGTTTACTCTACTTCCATTATAGCTGCCATCTAACTATGCTGGTGTAAGGTAGTGTGGAGAAAGACAGGCTCTGTATTATAAATTTTAAAAACTCCTATGTAAATCAAAACTCCTACTAAGCATTCTTTAATGCCATCATTTCAACTCACTTTGAGAAAATGAATGGCAAAAACATGAAACAAACAAAAAAGAAACCAGAAAGACAATGAATGGCATGATAATATGTATACTATACCTTTCTCAGGCTTTCATACTCCTCACGAAGTTCCCCAGGCTTACTTAATTTGATTGGTGTTCTGAATATAAACTCTGAAAGAAAGGGAAAAGAAGATGCTTTTTAATAGGACTTTCTAGGAACAAACCAACCAATACCTTGTCCTACTGTTATCCACATTATGAACTACTTTAAAAATTGTGATCATCTTGCCCTGGCTGGTGTGGCTCAATGGAATGAGCACTGGCCTGTGAACCAAAGGATCAATGGTTCCATTCCCATTTAGGACACATGCTTGGGTTGCGGGCTAGGTTCCCAGGACAGAGAGTGCAAGAGGCAACCAGACATGGATGCTTCTCTCCCTCTCTTTCTCCCTCCCTTCCCCTCTGTCTAAAATAAATAAATATTTTTAAAAATAAAAATTGTGATAATCTTAATTAGAATAGTCATTCATTCATTTAACAAATAATTACTAAAGGGTGTAAACTAGGCACAGTTCTAAGCACTGGGGAGAAGCAGTGAACAAATGAAGTCCTTGCTCTCATGGGGTTTATAATGTTGTGAAGGGAAAGAGACAACAAACAAGTAAGTGTGTGTATATAATACCACTGGTGGTACTAAGTGCCATGGAGAAAAATAAATGTAAAGTAGAAGAAAAAGATCATTTTATATAGAGCGTTCTGGAAGGGCCTTACTGGTAGAGTGACATATTAAAAGACCTTATGGGAAAAACTATATTTAAAGCTCTTAGTTCAATGTTATCAAGTAACATTTTAAATGAGCCAAAGTTGTACTCATCATACTATATTTTTCTAGTATTTCTTTTTCAACATTGCCATCAGAGTTTTTTCCTGTACACAATCTAAATATTTTCAGCATATAATCTGATTTTTTTTAACTTCAAAAAGCCTTCAGTGGTTTTGATCTGCCTATAGAATAAAGTCAAAACTCTTCAACATGCCATTTCAAGGTTCTCCAAAGACTGAGCACAACTATCTTTCTAAAGTACTGTATCTCTCAACCCTACTTGCAATATATATGTCATATTTTAAAATCTTTTATGCTTTTTTCTCAGTTAAAATTCTCAATCTGAGATATCCAGACCCACAGGAGGCACACAATACATGTTGACTATATAAATAGATGATAAAAATCAAGGTAAGAACAGGAATAAAAGGTAAATCCTAAATGCCAACAAAAAAGGAGGGGGAAAGTACACACTTCTACCTCCTTAAATGTACATGACACTTCTATACACCCCTGTGTATATTTAGTGATTGAAACAGTATTTATTTTGATATACTAATAGCTCTACATCCCATTGAGGCTGATAAATACTTGTTGTGGAAAAGCAGCTTCCTCAAAAAGTTAGCTGTTGTTTTTTTGATTGTTTCAACTATTTTATAAAGACTCTCAGTACACCTGAGAAGAGTGGAAGATACTTAGAAACAGTATACCTAGTGAAGTTGTAGAAAACAATAACTTAAAAGAGGAGGGGAGCCCTGACTGTTATGGCTCAGTGGACTGAACACCAGCCTGTGAACAGAAGGGTAGCTGGTTCGATTCCCAGTCAGGGCACATGCCTAATTTGCAAACCAGGTCCCCAGCTGGGGGCAAGTGAGCCAACCAACAGATGTATCTCTCATACATGTTTCTCTCCCTCTTTCTCCCTCCCTGTCCCCCTCTCTCTGTAAACAGATAGATAGATGGATAGATAGAGATAGAAAATCTGATACACCATAATTTAAATCAGATCAAAAGTTAGCAAAAGTACAGAAAAATTGAATAAAATTAACAAACTTGATAATATGTACTCTTATATATGTATGTACCCAATGAACAGAATTATATAGTCCTTAAAGTAAAAAAAATATTAAAAATATACTAGGTAACTAAAAAGTTTCCAAAAATTTCAAAGAATTCATATTCTATAGACTTTGTTCTTAGATCTTAGGTGCTATTTTCCAAGTCATGTTTTTTGGCTACTTGACTGATTATTCTGGTTTTCCCAATTTTCTTTCTTGATAAATTTTTTTTCTGCTTAAGTTTGCCAGAATAGATTCTGGTGATTAAAACTAACAACTCTGGCTGATTCTATTTTTTACTATGAAATGATCGATAAACCAACCTCTGGTAAAATTGGTGAACAATAAAAAGGGTGAAGACAAATTAATACTAAGAATAAAGAAAGAAAAGAATCAAAATACAGATATTAAGGTGAGTTTAAATCTCCAGAGTATTAAAACAATGCTATAAAAAATTATCTTGCATATATATATATTTATATATTTATATATGTATAAAATTTTGCATGCCTGCAAGTACACCCATAGATTAAATTGCTGCAATCAGATTGTGTAGGTCAAAGACTATGTGTTTTTGTAATTCTGACAGACAATACCAAACTTCATGAAGCAGGTATTGATCTATGGTCCCACCAAGCAACGAATGAAAGTGCCATTTCCCCACATCTTTTCCAACACAATCAATATAGAAACTTGTTAGCTTTACCAATCTAATAGGTGAAACTTTATATATTATTAGGAGTGAAACTGCATACTTTTCACTTTTGAGTTACATTTCCTTTTCCTTTACTCCCACAGAGTTAACTTTTTCTTCTTGATTTCTTAAAGCTCTCTCTATATAAGAAAAATTGGTCATATGTTGCACAAATAGCAGTACTCTCCCTAGTCTATCATTTGTCTTGACTTTGCTTATCGTGGTTATTTTTATGTAGTTATATTAAACTTCTCTTTCATGGCTTCTTCATTTTGCATCATATTTGGAAAGTAAATACTGTTTCAATCACTAAATATCTCGGCCCTTCCTTGGGCCAAGATAGAATAACAAATTCTATCATAGTTTCTTCTGGTATAAAGCATAAGATTCTTCTCATATCTACTTTTAAAAATTCAAAGCTTTATTTATATTTGGAAAGCAACATAAGGAGCATAATCTTATTCAGGCTTATAAATAAATAAGTCTACTATCCAACACAAGAAACCAAAAATATTTTAATGATAGCCTGGTAAAAATGATGTTAATTTTTACTTACTGTTGAAAAATTTGCTTTCTCTAAAATAGTTCTTGCTAACATTTAGAACAAAATGTCCAAGGAGCTTGACATCATTATATAGTGTAAATAATACAAAGTTAAAAGCCCAACCCCCAACTTAGAAGCTTCCAGAGCCTTGAATAAGTCAATCTCAACTTCTTCTGTATAATCAGAATACCTATCATGACAGACTATCATGAGTATCAAATGAATACAATGAGAGTGAAAACACTTTGTAAACCATTTCAGCCAGCAGAGTGGCATGCCATAGGATCTAGAACTATAAAATTGTCTCTGGTGTTAATGAGATAAAGAAATTGTGGTTTGGTCTGATTTATTTGCAAGTACAATTTATAAGAAACAAAGATAATAAAACTACTCCTTTGACACACATATGAAAAGCTAAATTTACTTTGAAATACTCATTAAGAAATCTCAAAGGTCAAGGCCAAATAGGTACTCCACATACTGACTGAAATCTTACTATGCCCTGAATTATTTGAGAGGGAAAAAAAAAACAAAAACAAAAATAACGGCAGGGGTAGGCAACAGTACCAATTTACATTCACCAAATATTGCCAGGGATAAGGTGGGTAGGCAGCATACAGAGGATTCTTAGGGCAGTGTAATACTCCACATATTATTATAATGATGGATATATGTCACTGTACATTTGTCAAAATCCACAGAATACACCACCAAGAGTGAATCCTAATATAAACTATGGACTTTGGGTCCTTATATCATTGTAGGTCTATCCTTGATAACAAATCCACCATTCTGATACTGATAAAGGGGGAGGCTATGTAGGTATGGGAGCAGAGAATACATATGAGAACACTCTGTACCTTTCAGTTTTGTTGTGAAACTAAAATTGCTCTATAAAAACTCCAAAGTCTTTAAAAATAATAATAAGCAGAGCAAAAAGATGCCAAAACAGCCAGAAAAGGTACCACCACCCTCCTTACTCCTTAGTCCAGAGGAGTTAGTCACAAACTCACCAATCCCTCCTCGAGCTTCTATGGAAATTTTCAAGTGTTAGAAACAACCACTCACCCTTCCTTCACCTCACAGAAAAGAAATGCTAGCAGCTACTTTGGGTGGTACTGAGATACTGATTATTTTGGTATTTGTAAATGAATCCAATAGTTCAAGTACTTTCTTGAAGTCTCTGCTCTGACTACTACTATGTTTAACCCAAACATGTCAAACTCATTGTCACTGGGGGCCACATCAGCCCTTCGGTTGCCTTCAAAGGGCCAAATGTAATTTTAGGGCTGTATAAACGTAACTACTCCTTAACTGTTCAAGAGTTGAAATTACATTTGGCCCTTTGAAGGCAACTGCAAGACTGATGGGCCCCCAGTGAAAATCAGTTTGACAACCCTGGACAGGAAGAGAAACTCCAACAACATGATGCCTTAAGAATGACACACACCTGTGGCGAGTGACCTAGGCTATTACATTCAGTCTAATGTAAATTACAGGAGCAGATATACTTCCTTAAAGGTCCTTCCTAAAAAGGATTTTCTCTGGGATGTGGTGACTGGCTATTAACAGAAACAAACTACAAAACAAACATATTGCTAATTGCACCAAACCCTCAGGAATGAAGGGTCATTCATTGTCAAAGCACCCACACACAATACAAAATTAAAAAATGACCTCACTGAACTTTACTGGGAAAATGCTACACTAACAACTCTCAGATCCAAAGGTAATCATCCCTTGGTACATGGCTATGTTTGAGTTTCTCACTCTGTAGGTTCAACTTATCAGTGCAGCAGAATGAAAATCAATTTTGGACTTAAGAGTCCCAAGACCTAGACCCTTATTGAATACTGCCACTCACTAGCTATTTGCCTATGGATGATTTCTATCTCTGACACCAGCAGCAGCAGCAGCAGCAGCATTATGATGGCTGGCATTAATGTAGCCCAGTATGCCAAGCCCATTTCTAAGGACTGTATATTTATTAACTCATTTAATCTTCATAATGACTCAATGTGGAGATACTATTATCCCCAGTTTACAAATGAA